CCAGTTAATTCCCAAAATCCCAGCTTTTCCAAGCCCATGATTTTACCTTGGCTCCCTCCACCTGTGGAAAATGCCCTTTTCTTCCAAAGGGCATCAATTGGGTTTTCCTGGGTCTGTTCCCATAAATCAGCACGGATTGGGTGAGGATTCTTGGATATTGGGATTGGGATCTTTACTCACCTCCTCAGCTGAGCTCATCCATCCCAATCCCAATGCTCCACAGGCTGTTTTCCATTTTTATGGGAATTTTCCCTCTCCTGGAATACCACCAGTGCCCAGACTGAGGTGACACTCAGTAAATATCTCTAATCCAAGGAAAAACCAATTAATTCCCAAAATCCCAGCTTTTCCAAGCCCATGATTTTACCTTCCAGGGCGAGCCAGGAGCCTCAGGGAGCGACGGCGCCTCGGGAATTCCTGGGGAGAAAGGAGAAAAGGTTGGTGCTGAGCACGCTGCCATTTCCAAGGAATAAATCCCACATCCATCAGGTGCAGTTAACAAAATTTAACATTTTCCACATCGCTGGTTGCCCTTTCCAGAGGGGAAATGTCAACTGGCTGGAATGTTAGGGTTGGGAATGCAGTTGGAAAAGGGCAGGAGAGAGAGTTCTTAAATTCCCCTCTGTGCATGGATAAAATCCCAGGAGGAGCCAGTTGGGTGTGAGGAGAAGCCATCCAGAGGGGCTGGGATTCACTTGGCAGAGTTATTCCACCGCCATTCCCAGGGTAAATCCTTGGAATAAAAGTGGATCAGGCTGTGGCCGCCTTGGCATGAGAAATGGGAAAGGTCTCCAAGCTGATCCCGAGTTCTGTTCCCATCTCCTTGAGGAATTCCAACCTGGATCACTCCCCACCAACCCCCCTTCTCAGCATTCCTTAATTTCCTGCTTTATTCTTAAAAAAAAAACACACCTAAATTTGTATTTTTCCATAGGGGAAAAAAATGGGATTTCGGTTAAAACAGTTAATTTTTAAGGACAAAAAACCAAACAAAATCTCAGCAGCCTCCATCAAATCTCTTGGCATTTTCCAGCCCCTCAGGTCCTTCCCACATTCCAGTCTCCAGTGGATTTGGGATCTTAAAGGATTTTATTGATAACAAATCCGTTCCCCATTCCCTGATGGTCGAGCACCTCCTGAAGTCTCTGGTTGGTGGCTTGGAGATCATTCCCAGGGAATTCTCATTCCCAGGGAATTCTCATTCCTTTCCTCTCCTGGCCCTCTCCTCTCCCACAGAATTGTTTTCCACCACTGCTGGGTGTTGGATTTTTCCTTCTGCTGGGTTTCATGGGAATATTTTCTGTTCCAGCAGCTCCAGGGGAAAGCTCAGTGGTGAAAATGAAATTTTTAGGTTTGGGATCTTCCTTTTTCCTCGTTTTTCCCAGGGTTACAAATGAAAGGGTTCTGCTTAGGTGAGCTGGGAATTTAGGGATTCCAGGGAATAGTTGGATGGAAAGTCCAAGTCACCAAGGAAAGGTGGAGAGCAAAGGAATGTGGGAGGTGTTCCCATATTCCCAGTGCCATGAAAGTGTTTGGATAAGGTTTGGCTGCCCCATCCCCTAAAACCCCTGTGATTCCCAGGGAGCCAAGGGAGTTCCAGGATTGGGAGGATTCAAGGGACAAGCGGGATGGCCTGGGAAGCCTGGAGGGGCCGGAGCAGCGGGACCTCGAGGGCCACAGGGAGAGCCAGGCCCACAGGTGAGCACGGNTTTTCCTAAAACCATCTGGGTTTTAGGAAAAGAAAAAAAAGAAAAAAAAGAAAAGAAAAAAAAAAAGAAAAAAAAAAGAAAAAAAAAGAAAAAAAGAAAAAAAAAAATCCCAGATTCCTTCTCAGGAGGAGAAGGATCTCATGGAAAGCAGGAAGATGAGTTGGACAGGAAAACATGGAAAACCTGGCACTGGAGATAATTGGGATAATTAAGAGAAGTATTAAAGCTTAAATTAAATTTAATTTAAATTAAATTAGGAGAACTCTAATTAATGTCAGGGTTTTTAGTGCAAAAAATAATATTTTTGAGCCATTCCTGGTCTGATCCCAGCTCCCAGCTCCTTCAAAACTCCAGGCACTTGAAGGTATCCTGGATTTGTGGGATTTAACCACCACACAAATGGTTTATTGCCCTCCAATCTGTCCCAGCAAACAGAAATATTCCCATTTTCCCGGGGTTTTATGGTTTATTTACGTCCCCAGATGGAATTTTCTATTGAGTGTGTCAATAAACAGTTACCAATAAAGAGATATCCGTGCCTGGGATATGGAGGAACATGGATTTCCCCTGATCCAGGGAGTCCCTGGCACACAAATCTGATTTT